ATTTACATAAAAGACCTCTCCCATAGACAACGTTAGACAGAGAGCTAGCATTTAATAAAATTTTGGGATGGCTAGCTTTCATTGTTGTACTATTTGATATATAATTGTTTCAAACAAAATGTTACACTTCTAAAAAAAAATGTTAGATATGACCACAATATTATATTCTATATTATCAAAATAGCTTTCAATACTTATTTTAATTTGGTTGGGGTTGAAGCGTCGTGAAGGTTTGAAAAGGCAAATTTTCATAAAATTGAGCAAATTATGAGGTAATATATAGTTTATATGTTGATACACGCTATAAAGATTTGATTGTTAACTTTACTGGTTTTTTAAATAGAAATTGGTTTCGAGAATCAAATCAATTATTGCACGTTTATAATATCCTTGGACACATAGATATCTCGTGCTTCTTCTTCTTATTATTATTTTTTAAAACTTAGACTTGGGCAAAGATTTACCACTAAACTAGTAAAGATTGTATTATGTATATATAATAATAGAAATAAGAATAATGATAATGATAACAATATAGCGGCGGCAATAATAATAATAATAATAATAGTATTATTATTATTATTAATTATTATTATTATTATTATTATTAAAGATAAATCAGCTTATTAAATTTTGCACAATAACATATTACGTATGTTAGGTACTCAAATTTAATAGTTAAAGAAAACAATATTCAATGAGTAATGTTAGAGATATATGACCATCAACTCGGCATCCTTTTAATAGAGATGTTATTACTTTTATGGTTTTCTCGTATAAAAAAAAAAATCAAGTGTCAAATAACTTTAAGTGGTATAAAGAAACATGAATAATAAGATTTGAATTTGTCTTCAACATATTAGAAATCAATGAATACAAAATTAGTACGAAATTAATTTCCACTTGTGCCCACTCCCATGATTATATTTATAAATTATAAAAAATAGTTATAGTGCTATTTTAAAAGGAGAAGAAAAAGAAGAAAGCAACTAACGAAATTTTTTAAAAAAAATGCAATTAACGAACTATTTGAGATCGGGTCATGGACAACTAGCTCTATACTTGGATCACTCTCTTAGCCTTTTTAACTCTATTTTCTTTTTTATTGAGAGCAACTATAATTATGCTAATTATTTTATATTTTTAACTAAAATAATTAATAATTTAATTTTTTTTTGCTCTAACCATTAGCTAAATAGTTAGCTATTTTAGAGAAAATTTTTCACATTAACTAAATATAGCTAGCATAAAGTGACTAGCCATTTCATTTTATGTATTATTTTATTATTTTAATTATAATAAATGCAAAGATTTTTTTGTTCATTCAATAAAATTATTTATATTTTAAAGTCAATAAATATTATAATAATTTATATTTAGTTAAAATAAGAAGTATAGTTGGAATGACTCACTAAAAAATTACTAATTAAAATAATTTTTTAACCATTTTAATTATAATTTACTTAGAGATGCTTTTAATTTATTCGTAAATTGGTCTCATTAATATGAATATATGGATGTGTATTGTATATACATGTATATATTATATCATGGAATCGAGAATATACTCAACACTTTTTCCCTTTGGAAAGCGTGCTTCTTTGTGGTTCCCTTCAATATTGAAAAGCTCAATTATTTGCCTCAAAAAATTGCAGTTTGCACTTTGCACTGAGTTTACCAAAGTAATTAACTTTAAGTTTGGAAAAAGGGCTTACATATGTAATGCCACCGTTGCCTTTGGGAATTCAAATAATGATGGTTTTGTTGCCCAATGAAGATGAGCACATGTTGGATTAATGATTGAATGGTCAAAAGAGTACATGTTGGATTATTTTAGCTCTCTTTTTTCATTAATAGGTGTATTATTTATATAAGACTTCTTAATATGAGATACTGAATTATGGAGAGAGAGAGAGCAGAAAACGACTAAAGTCATGAAATATGATGGGGGGCATCTTAACGACGGAAGCCTGTTTAGTTAGTTGAGTTGAGATGTGATTTTATATGAGAACTTTTTACTGTAGTAAAAAAGTTAGATGTGACTGTTTCTTAGAACTTTTTACTGTAGCAAAACTCAAATTCTAAACTCAAATCGGTGAAATGAACGGGACCTTAATTCCTAATATGATTGTGATTTGTGGGGAACTATGAAGTACAAGAGGTCGTGACTTGTAACGGCGTCACTACGCCTTATGGGGACATTCAAATGGTTCCAAATTCCGTCGGGGCCCAACTCGGCGGATGCAAGTAAATGAGGATTTTTTGAGTTCGAGCTGTGAAAAAGAAATGGAAATCCGTTAATAAAAAATCGATAAATTGATTATGCACGTGTGTGACACGTGCTTCTAATTAGTTAATGCTATTAGGATTCAAAATTTTAAGTGGGGTTTTCTTAATATTTTCCACATTTTTAGTTTATGCTGCCATTATGTATTGGAACTTGCAAGAGTAGGATGTACATACAATTAGTAAGTTTTCTGAACATTTGATATTATCAAATGAAAAGTACATATGCAAAATTGATAGAATATAATATAAATTTGAAGGTTCAAAATAGAGCTATATTTTTTTAATATCCTATTACAGAATACACATTTATCTTTGCCCCTCACAATAAAAATGGTCTTCCACCCCTTGAAAAAAAAAAAAAAGGGGGTCTTCCGTCAACTACAACTAATGTAAACTTTATGACGATTCAGGACTTATGTAAACCGTTTTGACAATGGTTTGAAATTGCTGTTTGACTAAGATTGACTGGTTGTAAGAAAGAGTTGTGGTCTTGAATGCGAGAGGTTTTACGACAAATTTTTTTTTTTTTAAATTGTCATTAAAATTGTGTGACTTTTTATGATGATTTTCAAACCTCTAAGAAATAAAAAAATATTTTAGCTAAAATTAATTTTCTTCCTTCGAAAATAGAATTGTCTACTAACAAGCTCATGATCATTCACAAAACAAAAACATGTGGTCCTCAAAAGCAAGTCCAAAGAAAATAACTCATCATCATGTTAGCAAGGGTTTTCAGTACAATGACTCCTCTGGACTTGTCAAAGCTTTAGCACTTTCTCCCAAACTTATAATTTTGATGATTAAACCCCTTAACTTCCTTAATTGTTATAGTTAATCCCATTTTACAAACGGCTGTTAAAAATCTCACAAAAATAGACGTGTACGAGTCTGTGTGTCTATTTCGCGGATGATTTTCATTTATATTTTTATGAACGATTTTCATAAAGTGTTTTTTTCTTATATTCTCACGGATGATTTTCATTTATATTTTTATATTTTTTATACAATAGTGGTCAAACTCATACTCTCTTACATTTCTTCCTCATCTCGTGTTGTTTGACCTAATAATCGACCTCGCCGGCCGGAAGTTTAAACCAAGCATCGTTGCCCTAGTTCATGTTAAACAGGGGGTCCACCATGGTCCGTGGGTCATATAAGGTAGTCTGCCTTTGTCACGTATGAAGCGGAATTGTAGAGGGCAACTTGATTATGGAACGGCAAAAGCATCAATCATTTCGTTGGACCCAAACCCAAAAATGCTTGTGTCTGTCAAGGCCATGTGAAAGAGAAATTGCTCCAATTGCAATTTGAGCGTAAAAGGGTTAGAATCCATATCATTGTCTGGTATCTTAGAGGATTGAAATTGTTTTCTTTTTCTTTTTGTTTCCTTTTCTTTTTTTCCTTTGTTTGTTGGGGATAAGAAAGCATTAAGAGGACTGAAATTGTTACCGAGATGATCAGTTTATAAGGGCACTCGCATAACATTTATCTTTCTTTTTCTTCCATCATTTCTTAGTTTTCCAGTTTCCCAATTCCCAGCAATTCTTATATACAACAATAGCGATTATGGGCCTGTTTGTAACGTTTTTCACGTTTTTTAAGAAGAGAAAAATGCAAATACTTTGAAGATCGTGTTTGAAGGAAATCGTACAAAAACGAAAAATGAAAACGGTTTTGTATTTATCCCAAAAAGTTAAACGTTTCTGAAAACGCTTTCAAGTCGTTTTTATTTTTTCCTTTTCATTTTCTCAAATTTCTACTTCTTCCCATTCTCTTCTCTCTCTTGTCTACCATCAACGCCGGCAACCGTCCGTCGGTGTCCGCCACCACGCGGTGAAATTTGGGGGGGGGGGGGAATTGGATCCTCGGAATCTCAACTTTTAACCATTTGCTTTAAAAACAAGTCGTGACGAGATCTTAACCAGCCTCTCAATTACCTTTATGTCCACAAGACTATCATCAACCGCAAGAACATGAAGCTCTGACGGCGAGTCGCCAGAAACTTCAACGTTTTCTGGTAATTTTGGCCGGAGAACTTTATCCCCCGCCGCCATAATCGCCTTAACTCAAATGGGTATTGGAAAAAATGCCGCAAAAAGAAAAACCCACTTCCACAAATCCACAAAAACTCCAAAAAATGCATATGGGATTTTTTTTTTTTTTTGGCAATAGTGATAAGATATAGTAATAGTAGTAATATGAGCTAAAATGGGGTTGTGAGTTGTGAGTTGTGACTTGTGAGGACTTTATAGACTGGGGGTGTTTGTACGAAAATGGGGAAGCTTTGGTCAGTTTGATGTTTTGTTGTCGTTTTTGATATTTTGTTGTCGTTTTTCAAATTAAGATAAAGTTTTTATTTTGTTTTATTTTTATTTTTAAGATTTTTCTGAAGTGAATTGATTTTTGGGATTTAATTTGTAGTGACTATTGTGGAGAGTGGGAATTGGTTTTATTTTAAATACTATTACATATTTTTAAAAATTAAACTACCAAACGCAGTTTCAGTTTTTCTTAAAACTGAAATCAATCTCTGAATAAAACTACCAAACGCATTTTCAGAAATAATTCTAAAATGAAAATTAAAACGTTTTCATTTCCATTTCATACAGAAAACAAAATCATTTTGAAACCAATTCCAAACACAACCTATGTGACGAAATCTTCCACTACAATACTTTCTATTTGCATTAGTTTAATGTCACACAAAAACATAAACTAGTAATTATAGTACTTTTATTACCCAAGTTCCGTAGCACTTGTCATGTGTGAAACATAACAGATTTACAGCGATAAACAAGAGTTCCTAAGAAAACGCAGGAGTACCTAGTAAAACATATCCAAAAACCAAAAGGAAACCACAGGCATACAAAAGCACTTTACTTGCAGAAGACATAGAGGACCGCAAAGAACAGCCAGAGCAAATTCATAATTTATATACTGCATTACCACTTACTTCTATGGCATTCTGACATCACCGGAATTCGGAACTGCAAGAAACATCACAACCGTGCCTTCTAATAATTCTTTCGAGTCCTTCGACATGCACATTGCAAAGGTCAGCGTTCAAAATCTGTGCATTTTTCAGTAGTTGGAATCCTGAGCAGGGCTATCTGCGTGCATGTCCATTGACGAATCATTGGAACTAGGGGGATTCGAATCCCTATTTTGGGGCTGAAGAAAGTTGGGTTCGTTGTTCCGGGGTCCGTTTCCCGAGGACAGACTGCTGTTTGGATAGTATCCTCTTTCCTGAGAAATGTGATAGTGCTGAAGACTCCGGCGAACAGGACTTGACAACGCATTAGAGAAGACTGAATTCTTGGATTGATGATCACAGTGCTCAGTATGGACTCTCTGTCCAGCATTTGTTGGAACAGACGAGCCTGAAGAAACTGGGAAACCCGAGTTTGTCGAATGCATAGGGGCTTGAGTGTGCTGATTTTGAGCAAGCACTCTAGGGGACATCGATGGCTCCTCTCCGCAATAGTCCAGCTCATTCTGCATGGGGACTAGAACTCTATAACCTTTCTCATGTATGGTAATGGTAGAAACAACTAGAATAAAAGTACAAAGCAAGCATCCATTATAGAGTACCCCATTCGTAGCTATAATTTAATAAACCACTAAAAATATGGGGTCCGCAGAGATTAAGAAGCAATAAAGAAAATACATAATTTGTTACTGTATAACGAATAAGAGGGATCGTGAGTTTAACTTTTTCTTCATATACATAACCCCAGATAACAAAATAGCCTAATGTTTTCTCAGAAAACAGACCTGCTCCAGTTGCAAGGTAGAGAGTAAACTGATGAACAATCAAAGTTAATGCAAAGTGATCAAGTTCAGGTTGCTACTGAAATCAGAGTCAGACTACTAAAGCCGAATGTTTTGTAAAACCAAAGGCTCCAAGCTGGCCTAGAAAACATCAGACATCATTTTTTTGTACCCAAAAATATGAAATTATCCCAATAACTCGTTATGTGAAAGGTAGGAGCAGCACAATAGTTTCCAATGAAACAGATTAAAATAATCAATTGTGATTTAGACGTTGCCAATATAACTTATTTTCTATTCAAGTTGTTTTTTTTAATCAAAAGTTGCAACAGTCAATATATGAACAAAGGTAAACTACAAAAAACCTTTTCCTAGTTTTGGCACATCCGTCTCTCTACTTATGATAATTAGCAATATACCCTTCAGATTTGAATTTTTATAGATACCCCTAGTGGTGGTATTGGAAGGAAAAAGAAGGGCGTAAAAAGACATTGTCAATACTAACAAAAACTGTAATACAGTAAGGCATCGTTCATTTCACCGATTTGAGTTTTCAGTTTTAGGTTTCTACAGTAAAAAGCTCTCAGAAAATATCACATTTAACTTTTTTTGCTACAGTGAAAAGCTCTCAAAAAATGTCACATCTCAGCTCGAATTGAAAACTTGAATCCGCGAAGTGAACGAGGCCTAAGTTTGCGAAATTTGCCCTTGACAGAAATTCAAACGAAGAGAAAGGTTAGAAACTTAAGGTCTACAGGAGCCTATGAAAATTTGTAGCACCACCAAGATATGACTTAACTATATGACACCATTTAATCACATGTATCATTGCTCGTATGCTGGACACTGATTTAATGAGCAAACAGAAAATAACATACTATAAATAGATAAGATAGGAGACAGAGGTAAAAGAATAGGCAACAAACTTGAAGGTAATTCAGTATATCAATTGTCGCCACTCTGGATCCTCCTTCTTGTTGTCTACAGATCCATTGATAAAGTTTTTCCTAAGGGGCATAATACAAGGCCACATTAGTAAACCTCAAACCGCAGCAGGACTAATGCATATATACACATTAAAAAAAGAAAAAAAAAAAAGATAACTAATAAGGTCATTTTTTATGATTCAACCAAAGGTCCAAAGATACTATACACAAATATGGCTTAAATTATTGCAGGCTTAGGAAAAGACCCACAGAACAACACTAGAACAAATAAAAAGCTAAACTGACATCCTCAAATTTCCAAAAACTAATTGTTTACATTAAAATACCATGTGGGAACAAACCACAAGCCTGACCACTCAACCAGCACCCTAAAACTTGGACCTCATAGCATGTTAACAATGAATCAGGCAATTCGGTTGTCCATTTTATTATTGTTGTATGTTGCTTATCATCTTAACTCGTAGGTTTTAGGATTGTTACAGCCAAAAAATAGTTCGAGTATTCATAGTACTTAGTAGTAAACAATATAAAAAAAAATGTAAAATTCTCTTTTTTAACCTTTTTCTTTAACTCTTTAGAATGTAGATGCTTACTCTACAGACTTGAAGCTTATTGGGAAGCAAAAAAAGGAGAAAAAAAGTGTGAAGGACTGACAAAAGGCTATGTCAGAAAATCAAAGTTAAAGGAAAATTATGCATGTAATAAAGAAAGTTCCACTAGCAAGAGTTCTACAAGAGTGATGAGTGATGACCAGATGTTAAATAGATTCCAAGATGATGGACCCATAAAAAAAAAGATGTGCTTTTGCTCTGAGGCTGTAGCATAGAATAGAAAAAAAAAAAAAAACCCCATGACTTTCAATTGCGTGTTCAAAAATTCTACTAAACAAGACAACAGGTACAACAGTTCTTTTTATAATGCAAACAAAATCAAGAAAGATATAATATGACATCCACACTGACACCAGAGCGTCGAACCTTAAGAACATATAGTACGTTGAAGTTTGATACTGAAAAAGTTAAAATGAAAATCTCTTTATAAAACATGTTTTAAACTTGTTTAGGTAAGTCACAATTATTGAGTGAAAATAAGTGATTTGGCTTGCAATATCTCCATTCTTTAATTTACTATAGGTGGTACAGATTGGAAAATAGAAACACGGCAGCTATAGCTGCATCCTGCTAGAAAACAACCACACCATACAATGTCTTTAACAGTCGAAATGTGACAACGACAAACAAACAAAAAAAAATCAGTTATATGGCAAAGACTACAGAGAAGCAATTTCCCCGTTATAGCATATACAATGCTAAGCATTCAACACCTATGTATCCCATTGCCAAAGCACTCAAGTGTACAGATAAAATCCTTTAAGAAAAGGAATTCTTAAATCGAAAAACCTTCCACAACTTGACATCTATTTCAATGCTTCCAGAATATATTTTTCTCCAAGAATTATCACGACTCTCACTCAACACACAACTTAATAACTTCTAAGTTCAAACTTCTAACTAATTCCAAAAAAGGCAATTCAACACGAAACAATCCGAATTCAGCAAGTAAACAACAATACAAATTCCAAACACAGAAGTTCTAATATATGTATCTTCAACAGCAAAAAGGTACTAAATTTAATCCGATCCTCGACGATAATAATGATTAATGATTAAAGAGAGAACAAAAACAACATACAAGGGAATGGCGTTCGCCAGCTTGGAAGGAGAGCTTTTGGTGGTTCATGGCCTGAGTGTAGAGCTGAGACAGGGAATTGGCGGCGCCGCAAAACGAGGCGTACATGGTCCGATCGACCTCGTCAAGGCTTGTGGCGATCGACTTCCTCTTCTTCCCCATGTCTGACCTCCGATAATCTCAAACCCTAGACTTTGTCAACGATTTTCTGGTTAAACCGAGAGAAAAAGCCTGGATTTTACCGTGATTGAAGACGATGAGGAAGATGGAGGATAGAGAAGCGAATACAGAAAATCGTTGGGGAAAATTTGA